ACACCTTTCTCTTACAACAAACACCTTTACATTTGCCTTCCTGTTGCCTCGGCAACAACACCGTTAACAGTTGCTGCATGTCTCACCGTTTCAACATGTAACAGATCAGTGGTAGAACACTCGACACAACCGAGAGGGCGCGGGTTCGATTCCCTGGCCAGACGAGACCTATGAACAAGTCTGGTGGCACCTACTGCCCCTCTGCACCTAGCAGCACATAGGTCCCCGTGTGCCGGAACACTAACATAGGTGGCAACCCACGAGAGGACGACCAGCTAAAAATAAATCTTTTGAACGTTTTTGCCTTAAGCTTCAAGACAATGTATACTACCTTAATAGTTTTAAGAAACTCTCTGAAGAGCTTGTAAAACATGTAACTGATTTATCATTGTCTGTGTAGTACAGAACTTAATGACCCAAGTAGAGTTGCAACTCTACACGACTGTCATAATGATGATGATGATGATGATGATAATAATAATAATAATAATAATAAGAAGAAGAAGAAGAAGAAGAATAAGAATAATAATAAGAATAATAATTATAATAATAGTTTAAAGTAGATAATAGGCAGTTCAAGGCACATAAAGAGAGAGAAATGAGGTTTGTTTTGCCTGGAGACTCGAGAGAGACTCTGAGCTGTCTCAGCCACGCAACGATACACTTACGTGATACATTCTTGGCAGCAACGAACACTCCTTTCTCTCTGTCTGTCTCTGTCTGTCTGTCTCTCTCTTTCTCTCTCTCAAAGGTTTTCACATAGGGTTAGGTTAAGATTTCGTAATTTTATTTACAAACTAAGATATGGTACTGATCTTTCCTGTCTGTGCGTCAGATTCTTCCAGACTACAAAATGGCCGCCACCGAGGCTGAGGGACTGCTTACCTCGTCTTTTGTGTAAAGTTCTACTTTCTTCACATTATGCCCTTGTATTGTACTGATAAAGCCATTGGGTGGCTAAACGTCTACAAATAAAGATACCCAGATGTCTAATTCTCCATTGTTATCTTCCTCAGCTCATTTAAATATAACCTGAGAATGGTCTAACTCGGACCGAAACATCGTCACAAGCTTTTCTATCTCTTAAGTGCAGGTTATTTGTGCATTTAAGTGCTCTTAAGTGCTTCTTAATACTGTAAGATTCAGGAATGATTTTAGTGACAAAGTGTAGATGTGGTCACAATTACATTATCTGGAGGAGGACGTTACAAGAGGCATTTGAAGCTGACCCAAGTTCTGGGTGATTAAGCTTTACCACCAGCTTTCTTAAACTAAACTTTCGGTATCAGTAATCACTGATACCAAAGTAAATCTCTAGGTAAGTCTGGAGTGTCATTTACCGTGTGTGGTGTCATTTACGTGTGTGGAGTGTCATTTACCGTGTGTGGTGTCATTTACCGTGTGTGGAGTGTCATTCTCTGTGTGTGGAGTGTCATTTACCGTGTGTAGAGTGTCATTTACCGTGTGTAGAGTGTCATTTACACGTGTGTAGAGTGTCGTTCACCGTGTGTGGAGTGTCATCTCTGTGTGGAGTGTCATTTACCGTGTGTAGAGTGTCATTTACCGTGTGTAGAGTGTCATTTACCGTGTGTAGAGTGTCGTTCACCGTGTGTGGAGTGTCATTCACCGTGTGTGGAGTGTCATTCTCTGTGTGTGGAGTGTCATTTACCGTGTGTAGAGTGTCATTTACCGTGTGTAGAGTGTCATTTACCGTGTGTGGAGTGTCGTTCACCGTGTGTGGAGTGTCATTCTCTGTGTGTGGAGTGTCATTCTCTGTGTGTGGAGTGTCATTTACCGTGTGTAGAGTGTCATTTACCGTGTGTAGAGTGTCGTTCACCGTGTGTGGAGTGTCATTCACCGTGTGTGGAGTGTCATTCTCTGTGTGTGGAGTGTCATTTACCGTGTGTAGAGTGTCATTTACCGTGTGTAGAGTGTCATTTACCGTGTGTGGAGTGTCATTTACCGTGTGTGGAGTGTCGTTCACCGTGTGTGGAGTGTCATTCTCTGTGTGGTAGTGTCATTTCCTGTGTGTGGAGTGTCATTTACCGTGTGTAGAGTGTCATTTAACCGTGTGTAGAGTGTCGTTCACCGTGTGTGGAGTGTCATTCACCGTGTGTGGAGTGTCATTCTCTGTGTGTGGAGTGTCATTTACCGTGTGTAGAGTGTCATTTACCGTGTGTGGAGTGTCGTTCACCGTGTGTGGAGTGTCATTCTCTGTGTGTGAGTGTCATTTACCGTGTAGAGTGTCATTTACCGTGTGTGGAGTGTCATTCACCGTGTGTGGAGTGTCATTCTCTGTGTGTGGAGTGTCGTTCACCGTGTGTGGAGTGTCATTCTCTGTGTGTGGAGTGTCATTCACCGTGTGTGGAGTGTCATTCTCTGTGTGTGGAGTGTCCGTTTCAACCGTGTGTGGAGTGTCATTCTCTGTGTGTGGAGTGTCGTTCACCGTGTGTGGAGTGTCATTCTCTGTGTGTGGAGTGTCGTTCACCGTGTGTGGAGTGTCATTCACCGTGTGTGGAGTGTCATTCTCTGTGTGTGGAGTGTCGTTCACCGTGTGTGGAGTGTCATTCTCTGTGTGTGGAGTGTCGTTCACCGTGTGTGGAGTGTCATTCTCTGTGTGTGGAGTGTCATTCACCGTGTGTGGAGTGTCATTCACCGTGTGTGGAGTGTCATTCACCGTGTGTAGAGTGTCATTCACCGTGTGTGGAGTGTCATTCACCGTGTGTGGAGTGTCATTCACCGTGTGTGGAGTGTCATTCACCGTGTGTGGAGTGTCATTCACCGTGTGTGGAGTGTCATTCACCGTGTGTGGAGTGTCATTCACCGTGTGTGGAGTGTCATTTGCTATGGCTAAAGAAAGAAAAAAAGAAAGGAAGAAAGACAACTTCACTCGCTAAGTTAGGTAAGGTTCGTCAGGAAACAGGGCAAGTGTTTCCTGACGTGGGTCTTAGTCATATGATGACCCGCAGCTGGAGCTTTTGGTCATCTGACCGAGGCCTTCCACTGGCTTACCTCTCCACTCCGTTTAAAAATTATTGTTATGATTATAGCCACTGGATATCCTAGACTACTGCGCCTCGCGGGGAAAAACAACACCCAAAATGCTTCCTTGGGCAAAGGCATCTCACAAATAGAAGTTGACAGTGACCAAGCTGGCGGGAGGTTAATGGAGGCGCCATTTTACTGATGGTGACGCTGAGACGAGTTAAGAGATGCGGAGTCTTTATTACGGGAACGTTTCGCCAGCCAGTGACTTCTTCAGTCCAGTACAGAGAAGGACTGTGAAAGATGAGGAGGAGAATGAGGTAATAAGTCCCTAGGGACTGGTTACCTCGTTCGACATACCTCATCGACCCCCGTACCGGGGGTCGATCCCCTGTACAGGTGGAAACACTAGGACGTGTTTCCTTAAAACACCTGCTGTCCACGTTCACCTGGGTGTTAGTGGACTGGTATGGGTCGCATCCTGGGGGACGAAACTGACCTAATTTGCGGAAAATGCTCGATATAACAACCGGCTTCCAATATAGTAGTATGTCATTGATGTCAACTATGGTCTGTATACCTTGTACATGTACTTGTACAAATGAAGATTATTATTATTATTATTATTATTATTATTATTATTATTATTATTATTATTATTATTATTATTATTATTACTCGTCAAGATATTATAAAGTCCTGATAGAAAGGAATGTGATACCTAGACGTTGTGGAGAGACACACACAGTAATAATAATAATAATAATAATAATAATAATAATAATAATAATAATAATAATAATGCAGATGCCTAGTTGACAACAAAATATAATACTACATAAAAAGCCGCTTGTTATGCAGAACATTTCGGGCACATTTGGTCAGTTTTGTCCCAGGATGCGACCCACACCAGTCCACTAGCACCCGGGTACAGTGACACTATTGGTCTCTACGGGTATTGCGCTTCTCCATAGTTTAAAACTTGTTTAATACAAACTCTCATAGATGGAAGCACATGACTATACACTTGTGGGTGGTGTGGGTGAGTGGTGTGGGTGAGTGGTGTGGGAGAGTGGTGTGGGTGAGTGGTGTGGGTGAGTGGGGTGTGGGTGAGTGGTGTGGGTGAGTGGTGTGGGTGAGTGGTGTGGGAGAGTGGTGTGGGTGGAGTGGTGTGGGTGAGTGGTGTGGGTGAGTGGTGTGGGTGAGTGGTGTGGGTGAGTGGTGTGGGTGAGTGGTGTGGGTGAGTGGTGTGGGTGAGTGGTGTGGGAGAGTGGTGTGGGTGAGTGGTGTAAGTCTGCTGTACAAGTACTGTTTTAACTATATTAGTGGGCAAGTAGTGTGACCCATCCACTGTAACACATGGAAGACACCACTACAACACACAGAAGACAACATCACCACAACAACACACAGAAGACACCATCACCACTACAACACACAGAAGACAACATCACCACAACAACACACAGAAGACAACATCACCACAACAACACACAGAAGACAACATCACCACAACAACACACAGAAGACACCATCACCACTACAACACACAGAAGACAACATCACCACAACAACACACAGAAGACAACATCACCACAACAACACACAGAAGACAACATCACCACTACAACACACAGAAGACAACATCACCACTACAACACACAGAAGACAACATCACCACTACAACACACAGAAGACAACATCACCACAACAACACACAGAAGACAACATCACCACAACAACACACAGAAGACAACATCACCACTACAACACACAGAAGACAACATCACCACTACAACACACAGAAGACAACATCACCACTACAACACACAGAAGACAACATCACCACTACAACACATGAAAAACACCATCACCACTACAACACATAGAAGACACCACTACAACACATCAAAGAAAGCACAGAGGTACACAGCCTCAACAGAAGTTGCTAGGGAAGATGCTAGGTAAAGTGTTAGGTAAGGAACCAGATAAGGTACTAAGGGGAGGTGCCTTACCCTCCGGAGGCTCTAAAGACAATTGAACTCCATCAGGGAGGGTAGATCGCTTGTCCCTGCCACCTGAAACATTAAATAAACCACATGTACTCTTGACCTGCCCCTGAAACACCCTGTACGCCTCCATATGTACTCTTCTAATACTGAAATGAATGCCTTTTCAGAAATCAGAATTTATTCTTAAATCCCAAGCAAACTTATCCAAGGCCCAGCAAAGAATTAGTTAATTCTTGAACAAATTCTTACTGTGGGATAAATTAGCAATGATATTACAAATATATATATGGGCTCAAATGCATCTCGTAAGGGCCAATGAACATTAAGTATTGAGTCACGTGACACACCTGACCAATCACAGTGAGTAAACATCCTCCACTTACAGTACCAGACTTAAGTACGTAACATGTTACGTCCGTGACCAGGTACTTTATTACGAAACAGTTTAATACGTTTTTACACATTTACAAAGTGAGTACCACTGTAGAATCCTTCTTTATTAGATTATATTAGGTTATATTAGGCTATATTAGGCTATATAAGGATATTTTAGGCTAGGTTAGGTCTTTTCCAGTGTCAGAGCACAAGACTGTGTTCAATGCAGAACTGACTTTACTACTGGACACTTTTCTGTATTATTTCTCACTGAATTTCGCTCAGTTCTCCATAATTACATTGTACTCCCCTCTTTGTGTGTGTGTGTGTGTGTGTGTATATACTCACCTATTTGTGGTTGCAGGGGTCGATTCATAGCTCCTGGCCCCGCCTCTTCACTGATTGCTACTAGGTCCTCTCTCTCCCTGCTCCATGAACAGGGAGAGAGAGGACCTACATCACTTTCTAAGTCACTTTCTACGTCACTTTCTAGGTTATTCCACTGCCTAACAACTCTATGACTGAAGAAATACTTCCTAAAATCCCTTTGACTCATCTGAGTCTTCAGCTTCCAATTGTGGCTCCTTGTTTCTGTGTCCCATCTCTGGAACATCATGTCTTTGTCCACCTTGTCTATCCCGCGCAGTATTTTTTATGTCGTGGGGTTCGAAAGGAGATAACGAGGGTTGAAGATAAACACACTTGTCGGATGGTAACAATATATTGCAGAATGTGAGAAAGGGAGCCCAACCTGCCGTGTAATGCCTGGTAGACCTATGCGTGGACTGAGAGCGAGGTAGCGCGTCCCACGCACTCATGCTGCATCCCGTGACGTCATACAAACAGTCACTAGGCCCAGCAAAGGGGTCGTGTATGTAAAACATATGGATGGTACTATGATACACAGATAAGCTATACAACACATGTAGGGGATCAGCAACTATGCTGACAATCATGTCTCCCCTGACCCTCCTGTCCTCCATTGTCGTCAGGCCAATTCCCCTTAACCTTTCTTCGTAGGACAATCCCCATAGCTTTGAGACTAGTCTTGTTGAAAACCTTTGCACTTTCTAATTTCTTGACGTGCTTGACCAGGTGTGGGTTCCAAACTGGTGCTGCATACTCCAGTATGGGCCTGACGTAAATGGTGCACAGAGTCTTGAACAATTCCTTACTGAGGTATCGGAACGCTATTTAGGTTTGCCAGGCGCCCGTACGCTGCAGCAGTTATCTGATTGATGTGCGCCTCAGGAGATATGCTCGGCATTATACTCACCCCAAGATCTTTTTCCTTGAGTGAGGTTTGCAGTCTTTGGTCACCTAGACTATACTCTGTCTGCGGTCTTCTTTGCCCTTCCCCGATCTTCATGACTTTGCATTTGGCAGGGTTAAATTCAAGGAGCCAGTTGCTGGACCAGGCTTGTGGCCTGTCCAGGTCTCTTTGTAGTCTTGCCTGATCCTCGACCGATTTGATTCTCCTCATTAACTTCACATCATCTGTAAACAAGGACACTTCTGAGTCTATTCCTTCCATCATGTCGTTCACATATACCAAAAACAGCACAGGTCCTAGGACTGACCCCTGTGGAACCCCGCTTGTCACAGGCGCCCACTCTGACACCTCGTCACGTACCATGACTGATTGTTACCTCCCTGTCAGACATTCTCTGATTCATTGCAGTGCCTTTCCTGTTATGTGTGCCTGAACCTCTAGCTTTTGCATTAACCTCTTGTGAGGAACTGTGTCGAAGGCCTTCTTGCAGTCCAATAAAATGCAGTCTATCCACCCCTCTCTCTCTTGTCTTACTTCTGTCACCTTGTCATAAAACTCTAGTGTGTGTGTGTGTGTGAGGTAGTCTCATTATTATTATTATTATTATTATTATTATTATTATTATTATTATTATTATTATTATTATTTATGTTATTATTATTATTGCTATTATTAATATTATTATTATTATTATTGATATTATTATTATTATTATTATTATTATTATTATTATTTGCTTTTATTATTATTATTATTATTATGAATCAATGAGATTTGATCCCCGGAAAAAGGGGCTACCTCCAATACCTTGGATTAAGATCCCTTCACCAGCATCAAGGCACTTCTCTGAAGGTAATATCATTGAAGACGTCTCAGAGAGTGCTGAGAGCGTCACTACAGTGGTACAGTCATACAGTAGTACGGCATTACAGTGGTACAGCGGTACAGTGGCACAGTGGTACAGTTTTACAGCGGTACAGCGTTACAGTGGTACAGTGGCACAGTGGTACATCGGTACAGTAGTACAGTGTTACAGTGGTACATCGGTACAGTAGTACAGCGTTACAGTGGTACAGGGTTAAAATGAGGGGAGATGCATGCTGGTGTTCACAGCTGAGTGGCGTTAATGACACAGAGATGCAATTGCAGAGGTCACTCTGCAACAAGATCGTATTGCCAGGGTAGGAGTTGCACAGTCTGGCAGAGTGAGTGTGAGAGGCAACCTGTCTTGTCTGTTAGAGCTAGCTTTAGAGATCCCCAGTAAAGTGCCGTCAACCCTTATTGTGTGTGAGAGGAGAGGAGAGAGAGAGAGAGAGGAGAGAGAGAGAGGAGAGAGAGAGAGAGAGAGAGAGATAGGGAGAGGGGAAAAGAGAGAGAGGAGAGAGGAGAGAAAGAGAGAGAGAGAAGAGTAGAGAGAGAGAGAGAGGGGAGGAGAGAGAGAGAGAGAGAGAGAGAGAGAGAGAGAGAGAGAGAGAGAGAGAGAGAGAGAGAGAGAGAGAGAGAGAGAGAGAGAGAGAGAGCGCTTGATGAGGAGGCGGAGAATTAAAATAAGTCAGTGACTGAGTGTGTCAAACGACCAACCATCTAGCCCAGAAAGTGAATGTCAACATGGCCGTGCTGACACCGGTGCCTTCAGTCTCTGGTCTTGAAAGCAACTGTTGTAGACATGTAAACATCCAGTGTCGGTCAACAAGCCATGGACGCCTCTGCAACTCTGATTACCCTATAATATGATCTTTTATAACGTTTTCCTGAAGCCACGGTGAAATAACCTCCGCTCCCACGTAGCCTGGTCTGTGGCCAGCACTAGGAAGAACTGTGTGGGTGGAAGTATCTCCACGTAGCCTGGTCTGTGGCCAGCACCAGGTAGAACTTTGTAAGTGGGAGTATCCCCACGTAGCCTGGTCTGTGGCCAGCACTACGAAGAACTTTGTAAGTGGGAGCATTCCCACGTAGCCTGGTCTGTGACCAGCACTAGGAAGGACTGTGTAAGTGGGAGCATTCCCACGTAGCCTGGTCTGTGGCCAGCACTAGGTAGAACTTTGTAAGTGGGAGTATCCCCACGTAGCCTGGTCTGTGGCCAGCACTAGGAAGAACTGTGTAAGTGGGAGTATCCCCACGTAGCCTGGTCTGTGGCCAGCACTAGGTAGAACTTTGTAAGTAGGAGTATCCCCACGTAGCCTGGTCTGTGGCCAGCACTAGGAAGAACTTTGTAAGTGGGAGTATCCCCACGTAGCCTGGTCTGTGACCAGCACTAGGTAGAACTATGTAGGTGGAAGTATCCCCACGTAGCCTGGTCTGTGGCCAGCACTAGGAAGAACTGTGTAAGTGGGAGTATCCCCACGTAGCCTGGTCTGTGGCCAGCACTAGGAAGAACTGTGTAAGTGGGAGTATCCCCACGTAGCCTGGTCTGTGGCCAGCACTAGGAAGAACTGTGTAAGTGGGAGTATCCCCACGTAGCCTGGTCTGTGGCCAGCACTAGGTAGAACTGTGTAAGTGGGAGTATCCCCACGTATCCTGGTCTGTGACCAGCACTAGGAAGAACTGTGTAAGTGGGAGTATCCCCACGTAGCCTGGTCTGTGGCCAGCACTAGGTAGAACTGTGTAAGTGGGAGTATCCCCACGTAGCCTGGTCTGTGACCAGCACTAGGAAGAACTGTGTAAGTGGGAGTATCCCCACGTAGCCTGGTCTGTGGCCAGCACTAGGAAGAACTGTGTAAGTGGGAGTATCCCCTACGTAGCCTGGTCTGTGGCCAGCACTAGGAAGAACTGTGTAAGTGGGAGTATCCCACGTAGCTGGTTTGGGGCCAGCACGGGAGAACTGTGTAAGTGGGGTATCCCCCACGACGGTCTGGCCAGACTAAAAAATTGTAAGGGGAGTATCCCCCCGTAGCTGGTCTTGGCCAGCACTAGGAAACTTGGGGGGGAGTACCCCAGTAGCTGGTCTGTGCCAGACTGGGAAAGAATGTTAGTGGGGTTCCCCCGTAGCCGGTCTGTGGCCAGCACTAGGAAAAAACTGGTAAGTGGGAGTTTTCCCACGTAGCTGGTCGGGGCCAGCATAGGAAGAAAGTGAAATTTGGGAGTACCCCCACGTCCTGGTTTCTTGGCCAGCATGGGAAAAAGTGTAATTTGGAGTATCCCACGTGCCTGGTCTGGGGCCAGCACTAGGAAGAACGTTAAGTGGATTTCCCCCACGTAGCCGGGTTTCTGGGGCCAGCACTGGGGCCCTGTGAAATTTGGGAGATCCCCACTAGCCGGGTTTGTGGCCAGCACTGGGAAGAACGGTAAGGGGGAGTAAGCCAAAGTTTGGCATTTTGGTTTAAAATAAAAAAAAAAATTATGGGTGAAGCCTAGGGGCTCCATGCCAAATGAAAATTACCAAAAAACTTTTTTCCCCTTTCTCCTTGTTTTTAAAAAAACAACGCATATTTGTTTCCATAATGCACGACCCATAAAGTGTTTACGCGCCCCGAACTCGCCCACCCTTTAAACACACTTTTTGAAAAAACCACCGAAAAGAAGCGTCTGCCACGACTTTCATAGTTATCACTGGCTCAGGTTATAATTTGTTCAAGTTGTCGTTGGTTCAAGTTGTTGCTTCAAGTTGTCGTTGCTTCAAGTTCCCGCTGTCGTCAACTTAGCTGGTGACTTCCAAGGCGCCCGACCCCTGAGTGTGTCTTGTGGAAATGTACCATGTCGGCGCCCTGCCTCCCCCCCCCCATCTCTCTTACTCAGGGGTCTTACAAGGTTAGGTTAGGGTTCCTAATTTTATTTATAACCTATAAGCTTTTACCTACATTAGCTCTCTCTCTCTCTCCCTCTCTCCTTCTCCTCTCTCTCCCTTCTCTCTCTCTCCTCTCTCTCTTCTCTTCTCTCTCCTCCTCTCTCTTCTCTCTCTTCTCTCTCTCCTCTCTCTCTCTCTCTCTCTCTCTCCTTCTCTTTCCTCTTTCTCTCTCTCTCTTCTACTTTCCTTTTTCTGGATCACACCTAATTATTTCCCATTCTCTCAGGAGCTGCATGACCACTGCGGGTTGGCCGTTTCCTAATAATAATAATAATAATATAATAATAATAATAATAATAATAATAATAATAATAAGAAGAAGAAGAAGAAGAAGAAGAAGAAGAAGAAGAAGAAAATTAAATAATAATAATAATAATAATAATAATAATAATAATAATAATAATAATACAAGTTACGAACGATGT